TTACTTTTGGCATATTGGTTGGATTTAATATCTACTTCTGGTGTGTTAGTCGCAAATAAAGGAAAAATTATTTAAGATTCCAGCATATTTATGGAAAAATATTGAAGGAAAAATATATTCCAGTGTAAAACATCATGTATCTTTGACAAACATGTAGGTAAAGAAACAAATATAAAAATTATTCACAGAGATTGGCGTTCCTCTTGCAAAAGTAGTTCCTAGGTTTTTGTTTTGTTTTGGTTTTTGTTTTTCTCCAAACAACTGTAGTGGCAGAAGCAGGAGCAATGTGTCATTGTGTTCTTGTGCTTTATGGTGTTATCTCCCCTGAACTTTTCTATTATTTTATTACTGGAAAGCCAGCTCATGAAGGCTGTTGTCTATTTTCTAAAATTTAAGAGCTTCATATTCTAGGTTTATTTTACCTATTATTATTAAGATGATGATGTCATTTTTTTATATGTAAGAAACATGCATTGTCAACTGTACCAGTAGCCTCAACAATGAAATACAGTCATACAAAAGTTAACTAAGGTATAAACATACAAAAGGAGAAATCTCTCTGCGATCATAAAATGATGTTATTTTCTGTTCAGCAGTTCATGTTACTGCTGTTCATGCTAATTAATTAAAGGAGCTGTTGCTGTAATGTGCAAACAGGGAATCTGAGAAACTGAAAGGGCTTTTAGGTCTCCAAGTGAAGTTAAGTCAATCTGGGCACAGGCAATCAAATGTAATGAAATCACTTGTCAGTGCTAAGCTTGCAAAAACTGTGAAGTTTGACTAGGGAGTAAAAGGATTATAATTAGATTTCCAATACGATCATAACTAAATGGCAGAATGCAGTAAAGAGAAAATATTACTTTGTTAGCTAATGGTACTGCTGTTCAGTTTTAGTTTTTATCAGCACACTTGTAGTTGTGCTAATTTAATACGCTTTTATCAGCAAAAAATGCACTACACAAATGGTACTTGAATGTCGTTTGCAAAAATCATTGATCTGAAGGTGCACTTAATGACACCTGGTATGTTTATTTTATGTGAAACGGAGATTGTTTGGTAAGATGGTTGATGTGCTGTCTTGCAGGCCCCCAACTGAGTTATGGGAATCTGGATGGGAGGATATTAGTGTATATACTCCACCGAATTCTTCACCTCTAGCTATAGTGGACACAGTCAACAGAATGAGCACATGTTCATTGTTTGATCACCTGAAAGCATTCAGGAGGAGTTGTTCTCATAGACTGTTAAAATATACAGGATGCAGATATCCTTTTATTGGAAGGTGGGCTGTATATGTTATCTTGCCTGTCAAACAACATTCAAAGCGTAAAAGATGTGGAATAACTAAACTGAAGAGATTTATAATGCATATAAGAATCCTAGTAAAGTGGTTTACCTTTACTAAAATCTATATGGGAATCAGCATAAAAAGGGATATGACTTCCTTACTTCTAAGGGTGGCCATGCAACGTTTTTCTAAGTCCCCTTTAAACTCTCTTCTAAAAATGTAGACAGTGGAACTAATTGAATTTCAAAGGGAGAGCACTAGATGAATGATAGATTTCTATCCAGCAGAGCTATTGACAAGAGGAAGAGAAAGGACTTCACTGATGCTGCAATTGTTTGCTGTGAAACAGATGAATTTGGGAAGTGCCATTGTATTGGCATACATTAAATAACCCTCACAAGGCTAGAAAATAATCACCCAAGTCAAAAAAATGGGTATTTAAGGGAGATGGAAAAGATAAGAATGGCATCAAAATAACTCACGAAAGAAAATAACTGCATCACACATCACACAAGAGCAAAATTAGTAGGAAGACTGGAAAATAAATGTTAACTCTGCATTGTCTGTTTTCCAAGAATTACACTTTTTCTGAGGTTCATCGATTAATATAAAATTAATCTTCCAATTCTAAGCATCTCAAATTATAGGCAAAATTATTGGGATTTTTTAAGGCAATAATTTGGCCTGAGTGATTTGGTCAACTATATTTAAGATTAGTTCTGATAATATTTTCAAACACTTATTCCCCTGGATAATAGAATAAATTCTTATTGTTCAAAAAATAATACCTTCTCTTAGGCAGTAAATTGTGATTCTACTGTCATGTCAACACAAGGTCTTCACTCTAGTATTCCACAGAGTGGTGATGTGCTTAGGAGAGGAGAGAATGTGTACTTTTCCAATTTTTACATTTATTAAGGATATTATCACATGTAATCTAATATCTAATTCAATAAGGAATTATTAATCTGCCATATTTTAACATGCGTGGACAATATTGACCAAGAATACTAAACAATTTTATTTATAATTGGAAAAAAATAATAAAGGTCAATTCTCTTGCTTTAAAATAAGTTCCACTTCAATCCTCTTATAGGGTAAAAACCTAGTAGGACTTACTATGTTTAGTGAAAAAAGAAATTATATGACTACTTTCTTGACACCAAAAAAAAAAAAAACCAACCAAACCCATTGCCTTCAAGTCGATTCCAACTCATAGCGACCCTATAAGGACAGAGTAGAACTGCCCCATATGGTTCACAAGAAGCGCCTGGTGGATTTGAACTGCCTACCTCTTGGCTAACAGCCATAGCTCTCAACCACTGCACCACCAGGGTTTCCTTCTTGACACAAGTACAATATGCAAAAGCCATTCTTTGAGACACTTTATTAAAATAGAGAACTTGGAGCCAAATGGAGAATAAATCTATCTTTTGCTTATATCGCCTAATTGACTTCCCTTGAATAAGATATCTGCTGTCTGTTGTGTGGAAATGAAGTAACTTCAGCATAGTTCAAAATTTTGTGCTTAACAGAGCTCAGAAAGATATTATTACTGTGAACTAAACACATTATATAAATTATCCACTTGTAATGTATTTTGATTATCCCCTCCATTTCCAAAGCTGACTATGAATCCCATTCAAAGTAAGGGCACAGTCAAGCTCTATGCTTCTTAAAGATGTGGTCTATATTTGTGTGTCAATAATTCAGGAGAGATCAAATGCTTCATGCTATGCATCCCTACCATGGCCCTGGTATGTGGTGGTAACCTCAAATACCAGATCAACACCTAGTGGGACCTATTTATTAAATTTAGTTATGGTGAATTGATTGAAAAACACTGAGTCCTATCCATATTGGCACAGTACTTAAGTTGAGGGAAGAAAGCGGGCAAGCAAAAGTTGGATAACAAAGAGCCAAAACTTCACTGAGTGAGCTGAGCATGCATTAGTTAGGACTATTCAGCTGCAGCAGAATCTAGCTTTACCAGAAGATCCATCAGTTTGGACTTTACTGGTTTTATAAAGATAACTTGCAAAACTACATGAATGAGCGTTTCTAAATTTCCTGAAGCTGTCACATAAAACAGTGACCCTCAGATCAAACCAAATTGTTTTCTTGGTTGCATCCAGTTCTGTTGCTTTCATGTAGATCCAGTTATCACACAGAAGCAAGTTAAACCTCCAGCAAGCAACTTATTTATTGTTGTCTTCCTTTTTGCAAGTTAGGAAATAGTTTTCTCTTGGAACTGTCTTTATCGTTTATCAGAGTAAGGCATCCTTTTCAAATAATTGTGAAAGAAAATGTAATCTGTATAAGGGCTAGACTGAATTAGAATCACACCGGAAAATGCTCAGTGGTCAATTCTCATTTTTAGGTGCTTTTGCACTGAGACTATGTTGATTTGTTTCATGTTTTCCCACTACTAAGTTTTTAAGGTGTGTTTTTTAAAGGATCTAGGCATGGGAATCTTGTAAATCATGGATTACACAAGTCATGCTCCTATTTCCGTATGTACATGGTTTCTAAAAGTATCTAAAATTAGCATTGAAATGTAATAGTTGATAAAGAAAAATGTCTGGTCACTTTTAAAATACTGATAGCTTACAATTCTCATACCTGTGGCTTCTATGAACAGTAAAGTAGTGAAGTAAAAAGAACATGTCATTGTATACTTCTGAAAGGTAAATTATAATCAGAGTTATGCATTTTTAGAATATGCCTAACATATAAATGTATATTCTTTTTGACAGCTAAACATATAAGAGATTTGCTCACATTGTATATGTAAAATTATTAGTCCATAAGTATTCATACTGTTACTAGGCTTTCAAAGACATACTAAGTTTAAATATATACTTATATACATGCATATATACATGTATATGTATATACATATGTATACGTATACATACAGTCATGTGCCACATAACGTCCATTCAGGCAATGTCAGACCATATATACTTCCATGGTTCCATATAGCTTTGCTAAGTATATATGGTGTATATGGCTAGGTATATACACGTGTCTAGACAAAGGAAGAAAGGGGCAGAGGGATGAGGAAGGGAAGAGGAAGAGGGGGGCAGGGAGTCCAGCGCAGATGCAAGGACAAGTCACTGGAGGTCAGTCAAGCTGAGTGGTTGGGCCTGCTCATGATGTGCAGTGAATGGTTGCTCTTCCGAATGGAGTTAGCACAGCCCAAGTCCAGTGAGATGTGGGGCTCGGAAGCCAGAAGCCTTGGGGAAGGGACCAGAGGCAAGAGCAGCAGGTGAGCTTAGGAAAGGGCATGGAGTGGGGAATCCAGGACCAGAGAAGAGGGATCATAGAGGTGCCCTGGAGAAGTCACTGAACTGGGGGACTGAAAAGGGGTACAGAGGCTGAGGAAGCATATATACTTTGCTAAGTAATATGGTGTTTGCACAATGTCCAAATCACATAACATCATATTTCACAGAATGTATCTCATGACTGTAAATACAGATATAGATATGAAGGTAAATATGAATATAGACATAAATATAGATATAAATACAGATACAAATGCAAATACAAGTATAAGTATACTGAAATAGCTTCTTCTGTCATAAGATGAGTTAAACTTATTTATTTTACTTAAAGAGTATCTACATAGGAGCTCATCCCCACTCCCACCCCCAGGTGTCAGAAAGATATATGCAGTTTTAGAAAGAAATATGCTTTTTTACTGTACCTTGCATAGCAGCACTATCATGAGGAGTCCCATTGTTTTCTATTTCAATATCTGGAATTCCAGTGTCTGAAAAAAGTGACATTCAGTGTTAAGGTACAACATCGCATGCCCTGATTCCATTTAAAGGGAAAACCCACAGTAAGCCAGCACTTCAGTCCCATAGAAAATACAAGAACTTAGGTGGAATTTTTCTTTTTTGCCTGTTTGTTTGGACTTTTTAATGGTACCAAAAAACCAAACCGTTACCGTCGAGTCGACTTTGACTCATAGTGACCCTATCAGACAGAGTAGAACTGCCCCATAGGGTTTCCAAGGAGCAGCTGATGGATTTGAACTGCAGACCTTTTGGTTAGCAGCCGAGCCCTTAACCACTGTGCCACCATGGCTCCTTTTAATGGCAGGAAAGAAAATTATAAGCTGTAGCTGAGTTCTACAATTCGGCGTATATTTTTAAGTATATAGTAAATACTTCTTTATTCATTGCATTCCCTAGAGATAATTCTAAGGAAAATAATGTGCCTGTAGATTATTACCCCTAATTAATTCCCTGACTGAAGAATAAAAAAAAGATGATGGATACAATTGCATAAGTGGAAGTGCCCGGTCCTTATGGTCTATTTTTCACCTGTAAAATATGATAGATGATGAGATTATCTCTCTGCTAAGTGCAAGTGAACACCAAAGCACAGGTTCTGGCTTGTGGTCTTTATTAATTATTTGTTCTAGTGTCACATTTTTTACTAATGTGTTCTTCAGATAAGTTTCAGAAGGTAATAATTATGGTGAAAAAAGATTCTGTTTGTGTGTGTACATTTTTACTTTGACATTTATTTCAAATTGGGTCTGAATCACTCTGGTTAGTATGTTTTTTTTTTTTTAAGTAGAATATAAAAGTAAGTGCGTAACTTTTAGAGCACCTTCAAATTTAGCAGAAGTATGATATACAGGGATGCATTTGTTGTTTTGAAAAACTTAACAAAAAGAAACAAGGAGTTGGATAAGGGATCAAAGTGACAACAGCAACTCAAAAGATTAGATAGGAACCTTGAGGGGCAGTGAGTTTATGTTAATAGAGGAGGAACAACTCAGAAAACGAGGGTGAGAATGGATGCACGACTCGAAGAATGTAATAAATATCACTGAATTGTACATGTAGAAACGGTTGAATTGGTGTATGTTTTGCTGTGTATATTCTCAACAACAAAAATTTTAAAAATAGCACAAAATAAAGAAAAAGGGAATTGGGCTTTTATATTCAACTTTAAATATGAAATGTAATTATCTAATAGCTATTCATACATGAAGCACAACTTAATATGGCTGTTTCTGTATATACAGATTTGCTTGACACCCATGGGTATTATGATAACAGATGCCACTGTATCATCCAATGCCATCAAAGATTAACATGAGAAGGAAATGATTTGAATACAAGGTACCCACCATGCTGTAGAAGCAGCTGCTGCTTTTCTATAATAAAGCACATTGGAACTAGGGTGGAGCTCACCTGAAGGTGGATTTCAAATATGTAAAAAAAAGTCAAGTTGTTGTTGTTGGGTGCGTTTGAGTCGATTTTTGACTCATAGACATCCCGTATGACAGAGTAGAATTATTCCATAGGGTTTTCCAGGCTGTAATCATTATGGGAGCAGATTGCCAAGGTCTTCCTCCTGAGGAGTGGCTGGGTGGGTTCAAATCACCAAACTTTCTTTTGGTTAGCAGCCAAGCAGTTAACCTTTGCGCCACATACCTCCTCAGAATTACAAGTTCAGAACCTCACAAAACAAGCGTGCACAGAACATTTATTATATTGCTGGTCAGAAATGTTATTTTTTAAGATCTTTTATCACCAAAGATGCTGGCTCCCATCATCTAAGATGTACCACTGTATAAGATATTAATGTATTTTTATTTGCCCTCTCTCTCCTATGTCTCCACGAGGCACGACTGTCATGATTTAATGCTCTAGCACTGTATTTCTATCAGTGGTGAGTATAATGGTCCAAGAGAGTCAACAATAAAAAGAGAATGGAAGTTGTAGAAAGAAAATAATAGTATTGGACGTTGGTCCAAAATTTGTTGTTCACTCTCAACACTAAAGCCACCACATCTTAGTTCTATGTGCGTGTCATGTGTGTGCAGGGGTATGTGTGTGCATAAATCTTTAGGCTCATCTTCACCGTACACACATATCTGTTAAATATATCATCTACCAATGTGCTATGCAAGAAGCATCTGAATATTCTACAAAATAAAACAATGTTATGGGGTTTCAGGATTAAAAAAGGAATCAGAAAAGTTTGGAACTAAGAGATTTCGTGATACAAACACTTCCTCCCATGGGATCTCCAGGGCTTTACTTAGAACACTCGTTCTTAACCAAGCACTCCTTATGCACCTCAATACTGACCAAATATGCATTAAAGAAACAAACAATCTATAGCTGATAGAAATAGAGTTCTCCAAACATAAGCAGATTCTAAGATGAACAGACCTAAAGCACTTAACATTTTAGATGCAGTGAGATTATCAGTGTTACTGTTTGTACTGCAAAAATCAGCAGGACTTCTTGTTATATCTAGGCTATTTATATCTTCCAGAATAGGGTTTATTTTGACTGGTTTATAATTCATGATTTAAAGCATTTGGTCTCAACTTGATTTTTTAATTATTTGTGGACAAAGCCTTTCTCTCTGTTTCTTTTCTTTTGCTTTTCTTTTTCTTTCTCTCTTTTAATTGGGTTTTGCTTTGCATACCATGATTGTGCAAGTCCAAATGACATATTACCTTTCAACATCCTCAGGCCACTGTCACTAGTAGTGGCTTGCTTAAGTGCCTGCTCCACTTGCTCTCGGCGCTTTGATTCAAATTCCAAGGCTTCCTGCAATTTTCTCTTGGCTTTTTTCTCCTTCTTCAGGCGCTTTTGCATGGCAGCTGAAATGTGAACAGGTAAATAGTTTGCAAAGGCTTGGTCAATGAAATAGGGTTGGCAGTTTTGATGAATTATAAACACATAGATGTAGATACAGATACAGACAGAAGATAAATTTATCAATGAACTTATGATTAGCTTCTTTTGGTCCCAATCTTATTATCCATAGAGTGTTTTTTTTTTTAACTGTAGTTCAATCATACAATCGCCTTCTTTATATTTTCACTTTTACAATGTGTATGTTGTATATTCATATTCATTTATATGGTAGTGGTATTATTGAAAAGAGCCATGGTGGTGAAGTGGTTAAAGTGCTGAGCTGCTAACCGAAAGGTCAGCAGTTCAAACCCTTCAGCCTCTCCGCTGGAGAAAGATGCTGCAGTCTGCTTCCATAAAGATTTACAGCCTTGGAAACACTATGCGGCAGTTCTACTCTGTTCTACAGGGTTGCTATGAGTAGGAATTAACTCAGGGGCAGTGGGTTTAGGTTTGCGTTTGGTATTGTTGATATAGAATTGTTTTCTACTTTGACTCATTATGCATTTAATGATAGCATTAAATATTTTATAATTTTTAAAAAATACATTCTTATTATTCATCATATTCCACAAATTATTGGTACTCATATTCCACAAATGCAAAAGAAGGTGAAATTATCTATAACAAAATATAGTATCTCCTTTGAAGCTTAGAAGTGACAAGTGTCTATTTCTCTAAGGTGTTGCCAGTTGTAAAGGCAAATATCTACCTCTTTAAAATATATGTACATATCATGAAACTATATATATATATATATAAATACGTGTGTGTGTGTTCAAACATATTAAAAAGAACTTTCAGTAATGATTACATAAGGAAGCTATAATAACACAACTGTGTTTCTTTGGTAAGCATAAAAGGCAAAGAAGAGTTAAAAGACAGCTATACCTCAATTCTCAAAGCTTTATCTTTAACTACAAACTTTAACTGCCCTAATACATGATTGTTTTTAATCTTTGAAACCTCAAAAACCTTGAAACATCGCTGGATTATTGGGTTCTGGCAATATATTGGTCATAGCAGAGTTTTAACCAGTCTGACTTTCACATTCTTCCTACATCAGTTAAAAAAATTAATATATTAATGTTATGACAAAAGAAAAGCACTCAAGGAACACTAAGCAAAATAAGAAATTATACAACATTGTTAAAGTGTTAAATGCATTCATATGTAATTAAAATATTTTAACTGAACTGAATATGATACTAATTTGAGTTTCAATTATATTCAACCCATATTTCAATGTCTTTTCATATAAATGAAAAGAGTCAGTTACCCAGGTAAATTTAGTGTCACTTGAGACAAAAATTAAGAGGTCTAAGGTAATAACAAAATGTAGATCTTGGAACAAAACACTGAGAATGTATGGTTTCTATTATTTTCGATGAAAGACAATTGATAAGGTTGAACATAAAAACATTTTACTGTCGTAATTATGCTTAATTGTCATCATTCAAATAAAATATTTTTTAAAAATCATTTAAATCGGAACTCTAGATTTATTCAAATTAATGTATAACTTAATGTCCTCGATAAGACAAAATGGTGCTTCCAGTAAAGTTATTGGTTCATAAAAGTCTCTATGTTGATTCGGTTGAAATTTATGACTTTGTATATTTCAAACAATGCCAAGACATCATACATTTAAAACTATACAAATATATAACAATAAATATACTTTATTTAGAATTTACTATATACTGAGCATTGTGCTGGGAATATATCTCATTTAGGCATTACAACAACTCAGCAAGGCAAGTAATATTAACTTTATTTTATACATGAGGAAACTGAGTCCTTGAGATGTCAAGAAATTTACCCAAGATCATATAGCCAGTAATTTTTAAAGTCTGAGGACCAAAGATCACATAGGTAGTGGTTTCAAAGCCTGGGATGATATAACTGGTCAGAGGATCAAGAAAGGTGTTCTCCAACGTCTCTTATAGCTCTAACTTTCAATAATTCTAAGTCTTTCACTTGCAAATAATATTATTGTATATGTATATATTGGTTTAATTCAAGTAATACAGTTTGGCTAGCAATAAAAAAGTAATTCAGTGGAATAATCTTTTTCCTTAGGTGTGAAACACTGCCTTCTTTAACTGTAAAAAAGAGAATCATAGGGATTCTTAACTATATATGCTATCCTTAGGGAGTGATGTTAGAGCCCTGGTGGTGCAGTGGTTAAGAGCTCGGCTGCGAACCAAAAGGTCAGCAGTTTGAATTCACCAACCACTCCTTGGAAACCCTATGGGACAGTTCTGCTCTGTCCTATAGGGTCGCTATGAGTGGGAATCAACTCGACGGCTACGGGTTTCGGAGAGATGTTACTTTATAATCAAAACAATAATTTTTCCCTCTGTGCTTTCAATCATGTGACTTCAGGTAAAGCGTTAACCCTTTGTCATAACAATGTTAGTATATTAAAAAAAAAGTTGGTGTCGAGTTGATTCTGACTGACTCATGGCAACCCCATGTGTGTCGGACTAGAGCTGAGCTCCATAGGGTTTTGAATGGTTGATTTTTCGAAAGTGTATCACCAGGTTTTTCTTCGAAGGTGCCTCTGAGTGGACTTGAACCTCCAACCTTTCAGTTTGCAGCCAAGCGCATTAACCACTCAGGTACTCGTTGTTGTATTACGTATGAGATATTTAGGTATTTTATAGAATTTTGGAAGTGGAACGGAATTTAAGTAATCAACTAGTTCAACTATTGTAATAGATGAGGATACTGAAATTCATGGAGATTAAATAGATAGCTGATATAAATCAAGATGATTACAGAGATGTTTCCTATAATTATGTTAATTATTAGATATAAAATGCTAAAAACAGTACTTGGCACATTGTGGACACTTGATAAACACTAGCTAGTACTACTAGTACTGGTGGTAGAAGTAGTAATGACAGTAGCATTATAATAATAATAGTAACAGTAGTAGTAATGATATCATTATTATTATTACTGAAATACTTCAGAACAAATTTTATATTAGATCCAATATTTGATCTACCATGTCTAACAATTTTTAAAAGTCAACAGATAAGATAGCAGTGATAAAGATGGGCCTGAAGGCTCTATGAGAAGTTAGTAAACAGAAGTCAGGTTGAGTAGGTCCCTAAAAGTTAGAAGCAAATTTTACTATATATATTTTCATAAGCCAACTTGAGAATCTTATTATATTCAGAATATGAATAATTGGTTCTTTAGTATAACATTTTTCTCCACTAAAGAAATATGAGTTTTTTTTAATGTGTTAATCATAATAACCTATTTTACACTCCAAATAGTAGAAATGTACTGATTTCTCCAGACATTAAAAGACAACTTAGTCTTTGTTTTGTAGAATTTAATAAATTAGGCAAGGTAAGAAAAACAAGTTTAATTGTTTTTAAATGCAGTGACTGAATTTCCACTTTGTGCTGGATAAAAGAGTCCTAGGCCCTAAGGAAAATGTACATAATTTTCCAATATCTTGCAACAAATTTTAGATTATAATATGCTACTTTGAATTAGTGTATTTCACTTAACCCAAGTCATCCTTCCTTGTTCAGAGAGGATTATCCAGATTGTGGGTTTTTTCTTCCTTTCTTCGTCTCTCCTTTCCACTCTTTAATTTTGACTGATTTTAGGTTTAGTGATCCCTCCGTAAGAATAAGCAGAGAAGAGTAAGCGTAAGAGTAAGCAGAGAAGGGAAAGAAGCTGAAAATCACAATACTTAACTTTTGCTGTTTAGTATTTTATGGTAAATGTAGGAAAGAGTTGGAAATTATTGACTAAAGTAAGGCTTTTTTATTTCCTGTGGTTTTGACAAAAAGTGAAGCCCTGGTAGCGCTTTGGATAAGAGCTCGTTAGCTAACCAAAAAGGTCGTCAGTTTGAATCCAGCTGCTCCTTGGAAACCCTATGGGGCAGTTCTATTCCATCTTACCGGGTCGCTCTAAGGCGGAATCCACTTGACGGCAAAGGTTTTTTTTTTTTTGGTGGAGGAGTTTAATATAAATTACCCTCATTATACATAATTGTAGACAACTAAATGGTTATCCATAGTTGGAAAGTTAATTCTATAGATGAACAATTCAATATTTCTCCATTCTGTCTATTCGTCTCCATCTCTACTTCCACTACTCTCATTTAGTCCTCATCACGACTGCCTGGATGAAAGCAAACTTTTTACATTGTATCCTTGCTTCTAGTCTTGTATCAAACCCACTCTAATATATTCCCAACACTGGAGTGGTTTACCCAATTGAAATCAGACCAGATGACTTCCCTGTTTATATTTTATTATTTCCCATTACCTACAGGATAAGGAGCCCTAGTGGCGCAGTGGTTAAGGCAATTGGTTGCTAACCGAAAGGTCAGTGGTGTGAAACCACCAGTGGCTCCATGGGAGAAAGATGTGGCAGCCTGCTTCCGTAGAGATTTACAGCCTTGGAAAACCCTATGGGGTCACTGTGAGTCAGAATCTACTCGACCACAGTGGGTTTGGTCTTTTAGTTTACAGGATAAAGCTCAAGCTAATCCTTCCCACGGTTTAAAATGTCCTTCATAATTTAGGCTCTACCTTCCCTCTTCCTGCATCATCTCCTATCATTCACTTCTTAACACTCAAAGCCACAGCAATAATAAACTGTGTACAGTTACCCATGTATGAGGTTTCTTGCCTCCATGCCTTTGCAAAATAATATCTCTGTCTAGAATGCCCAAATCACTCAGGCACTCTGATGCCCTTTCTTAGCCCCCTTATCCTTCAAGGCTCAGGTTCATGTGTTGGCATCAGGAAGCCTTCCTCAACCACCAACCCCCACAACTGAGCTAAGCTAACTACCCCCTCTCTTTATAACCATATATACTGTACAACACTACATATACATATATATGTATATAGTACAACACTGTTTTTGTCACTCTGTTTTAAAATTAACTGGTTGTTTGTCCTAGCCTTCTAAAATATAAATCCTCAAGGACAAGGATTGAGTATTAGTCATCTTATAACTTCAGAGTCTAGCAGTGTGCCTGGCACAGAGTATTTCATATATAAGGAATTGTTATATAATCCATATTAAGGTATATTTCGTGAAATTAGGAGAGAACTATGAATATTCATGTTTCCAAATCTGCAACTGGCCCAAAGTGCAGGTCTAGTTTTATTACAAAGAGAGACAGTATAAATTTCTTATTTTCAGGCTTATGCACGGTATTTGATTCTTAGCTGGTCATTTGTTTTCAGCAGTTCGAAGCCATCCCTGAGAATATTTCTATTACTATTTAAAATACCTGCAGCACAATATTCAGTTGGTAATTAAACTTGTTACACTTACTTCTACTTTGAAGCTCAACTGCAAGTTGTCTTTCAAGGTTTTCTCTAATTTCTCTTTCTCTATAGAGCTCCATTCTCAGCTCTTTCTTTTCTTGCAGAATCTGCTTCTCCTGGATGCGAGCATTATCCAAAGCCACTTTCAGTAGACCCTGTCAAAGTTCAACAAATGATATGCAGTTCATCTTATCTGTTTTAATTTCTCAAATATAAAATAATTTATGTAGGTGCTAATGTCTTGTATTACATTTATTTTGTTTATAGAAATATTGTTGACCTGAATGTTGGTCAACAGAGTCTCCACGGAGGACAGACTATCAGCAAAAATGAATGGTCCAGGGAATCCAGAAGGCAATGCCTGCCCAGGAGTCAGCTGGATCTTGTCCAAGGGTGGCTTCATCATTGGAATTTGAACTGGTACCTCTTCTGAAAAAAAAAATTAAATCAGAAAGTACACTCATTAACAGCTCAAAAATTTCACTGCGTTGCCTTCACCACTAACAGGTATTGATAAAGGTTTTGTTTCTAATAACTAAACGATGGAAAATTCATAATAAGAAGTAATTCTTATTCCCTAGATGCCTCTAATTTCTCTAAAATAAATGTTGTGGTAAAGAACTACTGAAACTGGAACAACATTTGCTACTAAAGAGGCATAAAATTACAATAAAAATTTTAAGATATACGCAATTGACATCTATATTTGTGAATACTTATAAATTAAGTAATCTAGTCATTTCCTGGAAAAGCATAAACTGATTTTTATTTTTTCCCTTCAAATCTATCTATCTATCTATTATCTATTTATCTTCATTATTTTTAACAGGTTTATTGAGGAATAATTTACATACCATAAAATTCACCTGCTTTAAGTGTACAATTAAATTATTTATAGTACATTTAAAGAGTTGTGCAACCATCATCATAAGTCTATTTTAAATCATCTCTATCTCTCCAAGAAGATCCCTCATTCTTATTAACAGTTAATCCTCTTTCCCACCCCAGCCCCAGGAAACCACTCATCTACTTTCTGTCTCATATACTTGCCTTTTTTAGACATTTCATTTAAATGGAATCATACAATATGTGGTATTTTTGTGTCTGGCTTCTTTCATTTAGCATATTGTTTTGTGGTTTATGTTGTGACATCATCAGTAGCTTGTTATTTTTTATTGCTGTATAGTAATCCATCTTATGGATATATAACATTTTGTTTAACCACCAGTTGATGGATATTTGATTGTTTCCAGTGCAGATTTTTATTTTGGGGAATATTCCTCATGAGAAAAATATTACCTATGGTATAAAAACACAGGCTATATCTTTTCTCCCCAATATTTTTATATTATATTTTCCCACATTCTCATTACTTTGATGGGATTCTTTCTTAACATCAGATAAAGAGACATCAAAAGAATTTTTTCTATTAAGATGCTTCAGATTTGTTTTGGATAGATACATCTAATTATAGAAGGCATCTCATCTTACTTTGAGAAGCCTAAGTACTTGGAAATCTACTTGAATTCTGGTTGACAATCTTTTATGTGAGATGTATGAATCACATAACAAAGAATCCTCTGCAATTACGGAGGGAGGTTATTTTGACATCTGTAAAAAGAAATTGCTACAGAGAAGTACTCTCAGGAATGTAACCAAACAAACCCAGTTACTCTTACTTGTGGCTTCAACAGCAGTGTATGATGAGGGTAAATCACGACACCTCAACCTAAGCTACTTTACTCATTGCAGTCTCTTAATTTTAGTAATAAAACACAAGCAAAGTTTAAAAAATAAGAATCAAGTCAGAAAATTTTTCAGTGATCCATATATTCTAATAAGATTCATTCAGCAAAGGATGAGGCTTGAATCTAGACATAACTAACTTTCATATGGTTTGGCAACAAACAAACAAACAAAAACCTAGCTATTGATTCTGGTTCTGTAGGGGCACGAATATGGATTTGTCAGGCAGTTAGATCTCATTTTTCAACGGCAAGAAGCCTATATACGAAGTGTGCGAAGTCTTGAACTCCGTTGATTTCACAGCCATCATGGTTTGCTGTGGGATTTCTTGTGTGGGAAGCAGTGGCATACAATTGTGGGACTCTTCAGTGAGATAACTAATGGAATAGCATTATCTCTGAATAAAATGCTCTTAATACAGGTCACCTGTACAATTTCTATTTTACCAAAACTTATGGAGATTAAAATGCTAATTATTTTATAGAACCAAAAGTTTCACATTCTTTGAATCCAAATGTTTAAAAGAGTATTTGTGTATTGTTCTTAAAGAATTCAGTAAAATCCATAAAATGTCCTGTTAATTTTCTTTTAGTGCATGAAGTTATGATGAATATTTTCCTAGGAATTGATTTTTAGTAAAATTTAACAAATACTTTGGTCACATGTATCAGTCATGTGTTTTATGCAGCTCCTTTATAGTTTTATTTGACTAATATTTAATTATATTAACTTGCATATTTAAAATTAACCCTGGCATTCATTCCTTTTTTTATTTTTTTAAGTCAGTGGAAAGGTTGGAAGAAGTAGACGTATTCTAGAGGGAATCAGAACATTATCACAAATACTATGACCTAATTCAACTACAAGGTTTTAACATTTGAAATATTATCTCATGACAAAATTAAATCCTAAAACGTGTCTTAGGCACCAACATTAATATTTGTAAAGTACATTTACTAAAAATTAACCCAACAATGTTTTGCTTTCTTTGTATTTTATGAAGTCTATGTTTGAGTAGTATTTTGTCTTCCCCACATGAGTGCATTACATGGATTGAATGACTTCACAAAGATCTGCCAATATTAATAATAATCGAGGAGGGTCTACACTTTTATATTGATGTGTATAAATTTTAAACTACAAATTTATGTAGCCTGGAAGATGTATTTTCACAAAAGGAACTGTTACAAAGTTAGAACATTGATTTCCTGCTGATTCAGAGACAACATAATGTTTCTCCTGATTAAATATTTTATATAGGTGCAGAGTTCTTAAAATTAATAGATTCCTTGCTATGTATCACTCTCTATACACATGTAATCTCAGTGGTAAGAATCTAACGGGTACTCAACAAAGCAAGATACCTAAAAAGGAAAGCAATACATTCAGTATGCATAAAACAAAATTATAACTATATTAAAATTGCTAGAATTGTTCTACTTAGAGATGAAAGTTATGCTATTAAATTGGCTGAAAGGAAAATTACTATTGACTATGAAGACAAGTTGTATGGTCTATGGTTTTTAATGTTGCTGTACAGTAGATTGAAGTTTCAAAATAGTATTACTCTTCTTTAAAGAGATAGACACAGCTGAATTAGGTGCTGCTTGCTGCAGTGAGGATCAAATGCAAAAAGAATCATATTTCATCACACCTAGTCAACACCAAGAAAATAAATAGAAATATAAGAGGTATGCAGGCAATAATTCATTTTGATAATCTGGCCCAAGAGAGACACATAGAGACAGCACACAGATCTAAGCTTCTACCAAAAGACAAATAGGACACAGAGGGTGGGAATTGGGATGACAGTGTAGCAGAGGTCACATCGATTTTCAGCAGCAGTTTTCACACAGATGAGATAACCCTGGACTCTATTTGGCCCATTGTTCATATCCTACCTGTCCCACAAGCAATAAATTTCCTACTGCTAGAAAAAGGGCAGTAAAGAAGAAGGATTCTACTTATGACTTCTTATGATTAAGTTTCTGTGCTAACCAAACATGTTTTGCAGACCAAGGTCACATTGCATGTTAAGGTCTGTAATAGCCAAAGACTAGTAGAAGCATATTATGTGTTAGCGTACACAAGTGGAAACTGTCAAATCATTCATCTTTTTTTTCTGATTGAAATCACATGCTACAAAGATGAATGATAAATGTATTGGAAATCTATTTCAATCTTGTAATAGGTCTTCACGTCTGAATGGCATCTACATTTTTCCTAGTGTTTGAATAAGTGAATTTCTATGCCACGATTTATAAGGTAAGCTTGAGAAATCCTAATTAGCAAAGCAGTTAAAAATAAGCAAGTAATAGAAACATAGATTGTCAGTTAAATAAGAGCATCTCTTTGTAATTCAGGGAGAAAGGGTTTTGATTGAGCATTTTGATTTAAAAAGCTGGAGTTCAAAATCCATACATTAAATCCTTTATCAGAACATATAATGCAATAGTATAAACTAACAAATAAAGAGAGGCTGTCTAGCCAAAGACATGAGCAACCTCTCCATTTACTGAAGTAAAGTGAAGACCACTTTTATCGAAACTGTTAAACTTGCCGTACTTTGTAATAGCACTCAGAAATCCATTTAGAGAACAAGTTCTTTATTTTTATTTCTTGCTTGGGGCCTAGATGAATAGATGTAAAAGTTGACAAGGACTTGATTTGTAGAAAAATAGTTAAATATATAGTAAGTGCTCGGAATGGAAAAGTCCCCCTGAAAATTAAAGTCAAGGCTGCTAGAGACTTTATATTACTCTAGTGCTTATTCTCCTACTTTTCCCTGGAGTTAAATGTTTCCTTTTTCCTCCGGGCCTTGAGGATTGTGATACTGGAATAGAAATTGAACATAGCTGAATCACTCAGCAGTGGAGAAATGCAGCTACCTACCAGGTCATCAGTTTATTCTTTAACAAGTAAATTATATTTCATTATTTGATTTGAGAACTTTCGCCTAAATATGGCTGGCCCAAGGGACTATCCTTTGGCAATGTCATTAGTATTACATTCAACACAAGCAAGACACCTGCTTTCCTCTTCCAAACGGAGGAACAATAACAACAACAAAATGACCAACTGCTATGTAATGATCTGACCTGCAAGAATATAAGGAAGTGTTCACAGTCTGAGCTGAACAATGACTTCTCAAATATTGCCATCATCAAATGAAATAGCAGAAAAAGAAAACGTGATACCCAAATTGTTATATTTCTTTAGGGATATTAAACTGAATTAATGCTGATAAATGAAAACAGAAGGCTGGCAGAAAAGGAATGAAGGGCTACCAGCCTGAGAAAGTGAGACAGAATATTTCTAAAACCAATTATTCCCCTGTATTGCTCAAGATCCATAGATAAGCAATTTGGTCTATAAGTGTCCTTTATAAATTATGAATTAGAAACAAATCCTCTTTCCGACACAATATTATGCCAATAACAAATATTATGTCAAGTGAAGGGTTTGCAAAAAGTATGATACCCAGTCCCTGTCATTAAGAAGCTGATAAATTACTTTGGAAAAAAGTAAACAACTTACAGAAGTGGACAATCAAACATGAAATCATGTGGCATAGATTGTTAAGTAGCTCTAGGAGTTTATAAAAGTAGAGATCTCTGAGATCTGGAGTGAGCACTCAAATTTAATCCATTCATTCTCTAGCTGAAAAGTGTTCCCATTGTCCT